GTGATTCCAGGGGATCCCCAGGCCCCACCTGGAGGCTGGCATCTCCAGATAAACTTTTAGGGCCAGGCAGACATTTTGCCCAATGTCCACTTTATTAACAGGACAATCTTTTTAAAGCCGAGTCCAACTAGAAAACAGCATTAACGGCACACTGTCTAGATTTCTTAAAATCCCCTGTATGAAATGAGCAAGTCAGTATCCGAGAGACTTCTTAAATTTATCAGGGGCTGATCGCCCAAAGTGACAAGCGCCTCCTTAACACAAGGAGGTCCAGAATGCCTAGCCACACAAATATTTGCGATACATTTCAGAAGACCAGACAGTTTGGCTCCCGGATGATGATTCAACATGCAGCTTGACTACAGAACCGCTCATCCTCCTGTGAGCTGGCACAGCACAGTGACCGAGAGAGAGAGGGCCAGGAAGTCCCTGGCTCGGCTCCCGGCAGACATAAGCGCAGAACAGAGAGACAAGCCTATCTTCAGAATTTCCCAACCTGAAGCGGGCAACCCTAGTCGATCCTGGCCCCAAGAAGTCCTTCCTCAAAGGACAAAATCGGCCTGGAAAGGCCCCTGTCCCCTCCCCCTACCTTCTACCTACTGAAACCCAGCCTGGAATATTGTTGTTGCCTAGCAACAGCCACTGAGGGAATCCCTTGGTTAAAGCTACAGGCATTCCTTTTACCATTTTTGCATTTTTTAAACCTCCCAATGCTTTTATTTTTTTTCAGATTTCACATTTTTCTGCAAACCTGGGGCCATTTTCAGGTCTGTAGAATGATCTTGCCTAGTCACATCTCCAGTCACTGGATTTAAGTATGCAAAGATTTCCCGACTTTGCTATTAGAATGTAAGATTATGTATACCTAGCAGTAAAGCCCGTTGTGAAAGTAATACAACGGGATCTAGAAAGAGGCTCTGGGGGAGTGCTCTGGCTTTGGGCAAACAGTGTCAATTTGCTGTGGTGACCTCAGCAGGGTATAATGACAGAGTCCACTGTTTTCTCCAGAGGAACTGATCTCTGCTACCTGAAGAGCAGTTGTAATTGTGAGTGATCTGTAGCCCTCACCTGGAGATTGGCAGCAATTGTTACCCAGGACAAAGTGGCTGGTTTGGAGGGTGTAGTCTATGGCATTCTACCTGTCTGAGGTCCCACCCCTCTGCAAACCCCACCCTCTCCAGGCTCCACCCCTCAAATCCCCAGGAATTTGTCAGCATGTAGTTGGCAACCCCATCTCCTTCCCAGCTAACCATCAACCTACCATTATCTGCCCCTTTGACTTCAGCTGACTTCTGCCCTCCCTTCTGCAGAGCAGTTGTAATTCTGAGTGCTCTCCAGCCCTCACCTGGAGATTGGCAACAATGGTTCCCTATGTGGGACTGACTGGTTTGGAGGGTGGAGTCTATGGCAGTGTACCTGTCTGAGGTCCCACCCCTCCTCAAACCTCACCCTCTTCAGGCTCCATCCCTCAAATCTCCAGGAATTTCCCATCTGGAGTTGGCAACCCTATCAGGACTGGCCCCAATGTGTTTTCTCCCAAAGGCCAAAGTAGGTGACAGGACCAAGCTTAGTTGCCTACCAACAGGCATTGATGGGAATGTAGGGTTGCCAGCTCTAAGGAGGGAAATACCTGGAGTTTTGGGGGGTGGATTCTGTAGTGGGCAGCATTGGGCGGGGTGGGGGGGCGGAAGGACTCAGCAGGTATAATGTCATAGGGTCTACCCTCCAAAGCAGCCATTTTCTCCAGGGGAAACTGATCTCTGTCATCTGGAAATCAATTGTAGCAGTGGGAGATCTCCAGGTCCCACCTGGAGTTTGGCAACCCTAGGGGAAAGTGTGCTGCACAGCAGGGGGTTGAAGAGAATGGTTTGATGGGTGCTGGGCCAAGATTGGCAACAATAGTTCCCCAGGAGCAAATAGCTGGGTTGGAGGGTGGAGTCTATGGCACTGTAACCTGTCTGAGGTCCCCATCTCCCCAGGCAGCTTTTAAAACATGATCCTGGGACCTACACACCACCAGACATTCCAAATGCCTTGCAGGGGGGGGGGAGTATGAGGTGTGGAATGGAGTGAAGTCCAATCAGCTTCCATATGCAAAAGACCTTGAAGGTTCCATATGCAACTGACATTCCAACAGCCTTGCGGGGAGGGGGGTGAGTTTGAGGTGTGGAATGCAGTGAAGTCCAATCAGCTTCCATATGCAAAAGACCTTGAAACACTGGGCGGGACTGCACAAAGCAGCCAGTCAACCCAGCCAGCGTCTTCTGACTGACAGTTCAAGCGTCCATACACTAAAGGCATTTTAGAACTTTGGCACCCACTATTCAATTATATATAAGGAGAGATTTTAAAATCTTTGTTTAATAAATACATGTATCTTTTAATATATTTCATATATTAAGCTTTTATTGTTGGCCCTCTTTTGCATTTGACTAACCTTTTTTAGGTTCTGGATTCAAGAACAGCTGTGCCAGAACTATGGCTTGCCCAAGGTCAAAGCGGCTTACAATCTCCTTTCCTTTCCCCTCCCCACAACAGACACCCTGTGAGGTGGGTGGGGCTGAGAGAGCTCTTTCCAGAACTGCGATTGAGAGAACAGCTCCGAGAGAACTTGTGACTGGCCCAAGGTCACACCAGCAGCTGCATGTGGAAGAGTGGGGAATCAAACCCAGTGCTCCATATTAGAGATTGCCGCTCTTAACCACGACACCAAGCTGGGTAAGGCCTTTCCCGATGCTGCCCGCTAGCACCGGACTTCAGAAGTCTGCTGCCCCTGCCGACGGAGGCTCCCTTCAGTCCCCATGGCTGTTAGCCACTGATGGGCTTCTCCGCCATCACCCTGCCCAAGCCTGTCTTAGAGCTGTCTGTGCTTGTGGGCATCACCCCCTCCCCACTGGCAGTTTCAGGAGAGTGGTCACATGGACACTGTATAATAGATTATAAAAATACAAATGTTCTTTAAGGTGTACACATGGTAAAACATATTATGATTAAAAGAGTCTAAATTCCAGACTTTTTGATGGAGGTGACACATATCCAGACCAATGAAATCTCTGATACCAGAATAATTTGAAGAACTGGCATGGCTATATTTATGGCCCAACATATAAGCTAGTAGCCTAACTAAAAACATATAAGGAAACAACATCTGACCCCAAATTCTACCACAACGGGCACCATTCAGTCAGAGCCCTAGTGGGGGGGGGCTGGGGAAAGTGGGGAGGCCGGAGTGTGTGTGTGCGCGCACTGCACACACATCACCCGGAAGTGACGTAATGCCCTCCCCCTTCTCTCTCTCTCCAAGTCCCCCCCCCAATAGATTCTATGCCACAGCCTCAGCAGCCCTTCGTTTAAGTCTGGAAGAGCTACACACAAGAGGAAAGCAGGATCACTAAACTGAAACAACCCCTGAATGAAAGGAAAAGGGGGAAATTATTACCCCGCCCCTGACTACCCGAGGGAGTCTCAAAGAGGCTTACAATCTCCTTTCCCTTCTCCTCCCCACAACAAATACCCTGTGAGGTAGGTGGGGCTGAGAGAGCTCTCCCAAGAACTACCCTTGAGAGAACAGCTCTGAAAAACGTATGACTGATCCAAGGTCACACCAGCAGCTGCATGTAGAGGAGTGGGGAATCAAACGTGGTTCTCCCAGATTAGAGTCCGGGCTCCTAACCACTACACCAAAGATCTGTCAATGGTAGTAAATTAGCATACCAATACAAGAGTTAACAAACAGATGTGACAGATATACACACACACACACACACAACCCTTTTATACATGTATTTTGGATGTGTGTCAGTGTAATATAGAAAATAGTGACCACTGAGGAAGGCCCGAAGGGGCCGAAACGCGTTTGGTCCTAAGTTTAAAAGTGTTTACCCGTCAAGTGAGTCCCCCCCCCTCCTTTTCAGTTTTTGTCAGACGTGGTCACATTGGTCTGCAAGAGCAGAGCTAAATTTGAGTCCAGTAACACTTTAGAGACCAACAAGATTTTGGGGGTATAAACTTTCGAGTGTCAAAATTTTATACCGCAAAAATCTTGTCGCTCTCTAAGGTGCTGCTAGACTTGAGTCTAGTTCTTCCACTGGCAGTGAATTCAACAGTTTAATTGCCCACTGAGTAAAGAACTATTTCCTTTTGTCTCTCCTGAACCTAACTCCAACTATTTCATCGGGTGCTCCCGAGACCTTGAATTACTGGGGGGGGGGGGGAGGGAGAGTGGTCGTCTTTTGATTTCTGCTCCATGCATAAGTTAGTCAGGTCAAGTAAGTACACTAAATAATCAGATTTTGAAAAGGCACAACCCCGCCCCCCCCAATTTACTGGAAGAAAAGCAGGTTCTCGTTCTCACTTTTTCAAGAATGAGGAATATGCATAAAATCTCTTAAGAGCCTTTGAAGTCACATGGAATTTGTGAATCATACTGCACAAACTGATTATGTTACTATAAAGGAAAATATATGTATCCAAGTTGGGCCTCCAACTACATTCTTCATCACCTTCGCAAAGCAGAGATAGAAGGAAAGGGTCTGTCCTTTCTGGATGAGAGGGGCAAGCCAACACCCCCACCGCCAAATGCTGCCTCCTCCCCCTCCCCCCTCCATCTCCCTTTTCCTTGCTTTTGCCGTGAATTCTGAAGCAACTGTTCCAAGCTCTGGGGCCATTTCCATGGACAGAGCAAACTATGCGATCGTCATATTGGGTAGCAGGCAAGGTAGTGCTGGCTGCTCGGACCAACAATCTGGAGCTCTCCATCTGTTCAGAGAGCTGCCTCTGCGTGGGTTGAAGCCAGTCGGACCAAACTCTATAGATCTGATACAAATCTCTTTAGCCTAGCCACTTGCGTGTGTGTGTGTGTGTGTAGCTATTTCCAAAGACGATGCTACATCTTTCTTTTTCTTTTTAATGTGTCTATTGGTATTTTAGTATTCAGCTTCCTTTTCTTAACAGGGCAACAAAGACTTCCTCGCCCCGCCCCACCAAGTCTAAAATCTTACCGGAAGCCTTCCAAGTCCTGCAAGGACACACCAGAGTCCCCGTCTACGTCGTTTGCCAGGATCTCTGCAAACACACAACAACAAAAAAGGTACAGATGAAGTTTGTATACCGTTGAAAGCAGCAGGGTGTGGAAAAGACACAACTCTTATGTCACAAGAACTGGTAGCTGACATACACACGGGTCCCAAAATTTTGGGGCCAACGTCTGCTTATGGGATCATGGGTATGCAAGCAGAGCCAATGGTATCAGCCCCATCTTTGGATGGTTGCAGACCTTGAGGTCGTTTGATGGCTCGCAGGTTGACATGCAGAAGGGAGGGGGAATCAGCGGCCAAGGGGGAGACAGCCGGAACAGTCCCACCTTCCAGACAGGTTCCAAGGTGTAGCAGGTGAATAGCCTGGAGACTAGGGGAGAGACCTGAGTGGAATGAGACACCAGAGAGCCAGCTTGGCCTAGTGGTTAGGAGCACTAATCTGGGAGAACCGGGTTTGATTCCCCCACTCCTCCACATGCAGCCAGCTGGGTGACTTTGGGTCAGTCATAAGTTCTCTCAGAGCTTTTCTCTCATGAGCAGTTCTCTCAGAGCTCTCTCAGCCCCACCTGCCTCACAGGGTGTCTGTTGTGGGGAGGGGAAGGGAAAGGAGATTGTAAACTGCTCTGAGATTCCTTCGGGTAGTGAAGGGCTGGGTATAAATCCAACCTCTTCTTCTTCTTCCACAGACTCTCCTGGGAGTAGTTCAGAGAAAGAGCCTGACTGTACCTGATGCTTAAACAGTAAAGACTATCAAGCCAGGCAGAAAATATCTTTCTGCCTTGACTCCTGGCCGCTCACCCTGAGATGTTATTCCTTCTTCACCCTTGGGTGTTTCCACATGGATTATTTGCCCTGAGATAGATGCTGTTGCGAAGTGAGCTTTCCCCCCTGCTTCCTCACAGCATTGTGGTACGTTTATACACTTCCCAGAGCTTCCTTAGCTTTTCTCCAATCTTTCCCAAACTTGCTTTGCTCCAAAATTTTGGTTAAGGAAAGAAGAAGAAAAAGATGGAGGAGGAGGAGGAGGAAGCTTTATACCCCGCCCTTCACTCGGAGTCTCTGAGCGGCTTACAATCTGCTTCCCTTCCCCCTCCCCACAACAGACACCCTGAGAGGTAGGTGGGGCTGAGAGAACTGTGACTGGCCCAGGGTCACCAAACTGGCCACATGTGGAGGAGTGGGGAATCAAACCCGGTTCTCCCAGATTAGAGTCCGCCTCTCTTAACCACTACTGATTCCACCCACGCGGCGACCACTTTCCCCGTAACAGCCACATCCTCTCCATCACCTGAGTTTTTTCTTATTTTTCTTAATCAGTGATTGAATAGTGCTATATCAAGATACTGTTATGCTAACATGTGTATCAGGTTCCCTGAATTCTCAGCTTTCATCTAAAAACAAACAAACCCTCAAGTGTCTATTCCCGTCTGTTGCTGAAATGTAAGGGGGAAAGGCATATCTCCACAAGGAAAGGGACTAGAAACTTCCTTTAAAAAAAAGAAAGCAGACAATTCAGAGAACCTGATACACGTACTGGCATAACCAGGGGTCATTTCCTGCCGGAGTGCCGCTCTGGGGTGCTCCGGCAGTAAGGAGCCCAGGCCCCGCCCACGGAGACACTCAGGGAGGGGGGGATTTAAATGCCTGGGTTCCCTGCCCGATCTTCTCCAGCCAACCCGTGGCGGGTTGGCTGGCAATGGGGGGGGGGGCAGGGAGGCAGGCATGCCTGCCCGTCCCCCTGAGCCTCTCCGCATAACTCATTTTAAACACGCCTGCCCTTTGTCAGGGGGTGTGTCATATGCAAATGAGTTATGCAAACGAGCTCCTGTGCCTCTTTTTCTAGAAAATGACCCCTGGGCATAATGGTGTATTGATGCAATGCCAAAGATCAATCACTGATCTTATAAAAAACCTACCGAGGGAACTTGCTGTGAGGAAGCCCCATCGCCACAGCAGCTGCAGGGAAATGGCACCAGCCCCGTCCTTGTGGGGGAAACGCCCTTGAGAACAAAGCTTAAGCCCCGAACATCAGCTCAACTTTCAGAAACTCTCGATGGTTGGAATGCTTAGAGATCTCAGGAAGGAGGAATTTTTGGGGAGGAGAGATAGTGAGGTTGCAACTCTGCTGCACCCCTTCCTGAGAGCCAGTTTGGTGGAGTGGTTAAGTGTGTGGACTCTAATCTGGGAGAACCGGGTTTGAGTCCCCACTCCTCCACTTGCACCTGCTGGATGACCTTGGGCAAGCCATAGTTCTAACAAGAGCTGTCCTTGAAAGGGCAGTTCTTGAAAGAGCTCTCTCAGCCCCACCCGCCTCACAGGGTGTCTGTTGTGGGGAGGGGAAGGGACAGAAGTTTGTCAGCTGCTCTGAGACTCTGAGTGAAGGGCGGGGTATAAATCCAATCTCTTCTCTTCTTCTTCTTCTTCCTCTCTCAATGTGCTCGCCCCTCCGCCCCCCAAGTTACAAAGGTCGTTCCAGTTTCTACAGACTTTCTCATATTCACACATACCATTACCGGGCCTCTCATTCCCAAGGACTGGGGTTTCCTTCTTGTGCCAGAGCAGGGAATGCCCTTCCTGGGAAGGATGAGGGCTGTTATGCACCGGCACACTCAGCATCTCCTGCAGAATAGCCCGGTTTCTCTCCACTCTCTCAGCCAGTGACAAGCTGCTTGCGTTGCTTCCGCCGCTGCCGAGACTGTCCCAGCTCTCGGCTCTCCAAAGCCGCCCAGTTGTTGCCACTCCGCAGGTGTCATTTCCGTAGGGGAAAGAACTGCTCCCAGAATCCATAGCCCGAAATCGGTGGTCTTCTTTACCATTCGCTTCCTCAGAAGGCTCCCGGTCAAAGGGAAGGTCCTTTGAGGAACCGGCTCCACACAGTCCATTTTGGGATATTTTTCTTGCCACGTTTCCTGAAGAGACCTTATTTTCGAGAGCGTTCCTCCCAGGCAGTCTCTGGAGCTCCTGGGGTGAAGTCCGGCCGGCACTGTTGGCTCCTCCTCCCGCAGCCCTGGGCCCCTTCGGAGCGGCAGTCTCGTTCACACACGAGCTTGGAGGCATCCCCCCCTCCTGGACTTCGTCTGGCCCAAGATGCGGGTAGGGAGTGCTGTCCAGCAGCCCGTCCGTCAAGTAGGTGCGGATCTGAGACTGTGGTTCCACTAACATGTCCTGAGGGGCGGGCTCTGTCGGTGGTGGCTTCCCTTTACGAGCCTTGGCCTTCTTGGGAGAAGCCCGTTCCTGGGGCACCAGGTCCCCCTGCTTGTTAAGGGCACCCTTCTTCTCCTTCAAAGCCTTCACCTTGGACACCAGAACAGAAGTGCCCCGGCTGGTATCCCCTGAGAGCCGAACCGGAACCCAGGACGGCCCATTGATGGGGGCGCTGTGGGGGCCCTCAGGGCTCTCGGGGGGTTGTTTAAGTCTAGGGATATTTCTGGCACATTGCTTGATATTCTTCATGGCCCTTCTTCTCTCAGTAGAGAAATTCCCCTCCATGCTTCAGGGTCCAGGCAGCCAGGGACCTTTAGGAGGAAAGAACAGAAGCATTGTGAGCCAAACCCTGCTTGCTGGGCCAGAGAAGAGTCTCTGAGGTGTCACAGACGAAGGGACATGTTGCAGAGGAGCCCATATCCAGGGCCCGGGATACCCTGTGCTAGCTGGGCACAGTGAAGCGATCAGCGTCAGCCTAGGAGACCTGAGAGGCCCACATTTGAATCCCCACCCTACCACAGAAGGTCACTGGGTGGCCTTGGGCCAGTCATACTCTCTCGGCCCAACCAGCCTGGGATGGCTGTCGTGAAGATAGAATATTGGAGGGGAGAATAATACCGTTAGCCATTTTGGATCCCCGTCGTGGAGGAAAGCGGTGTGCAGATAGCTAGAAAAATAACAAATAATGCCAGACTTTTAAAAAAAAAAAAAATCCAAACCATCTGGTCAATGTAGATCAAGCAACTTTCATATTTTTAACAATTTAATGTTTTCTTTAATCAAGGTGAGAACACTGATTCCCCCGCCCCCCTTCCTAAATTGTGGCTGAAGCAGTATATAGTAAAGGTGAAGGTTTCCCTTGCTCGAAAGCCAGTCGAATCCAACCCTAGGGTTGCGGTGCTCATCTCCGTTTCCAAGCCAAAGAGCCAGCGCTGTCCGAAGACATTTCCGTGGTCATGTGGCCGGCATGACTAAACACAAAGGCGCACGAAATGCTGTTACCTTCCCACCGAAGCGGTACCTATTTATCTACTTGCAATTTCTTGCATTTGCACTGCTAGATTGGCAGGAGCTGGGGCCAGAGACAGGAGCTCACTCCGTCATGCGGCACTTGGGTCTCGAACTGCTGAACTACCGACCTTCCGGTCTGCAGTTCAGCATCTTAACCACTTGAGCCATAACCAGCCACAGCAAGGAACCAATATAACCAGTGAAAAGTGAAATTAATGCAAAGGCCTTTTCCTTAAGGGATCATGTTAAAATAAATATACAATACAACAAAGGAATGTCAACAAATTCTCAGCTCCCCGCGACATAAAAATACGTTCCCTCAAGGGCACTACGGTCAGGGACTCAACATCTCCTGGTAACCCCAGGCCCCAAAGATACCAAACTTGCTGCAGCCAGGGCCGGGGCCTTTTCGGTGGCGGCTCCTACCTGGTGGAATGAGCTCCCGGAGGAGATCCGGGCCCTGCGGGACCTTGTGCAGTTATGCAGGGTCTGTAAGACGGAGCTCTTCCACCAGGCTTTTGAGTAGGAGCCGCCACCACCATTGTACCATCATCGCACCACCACCACCAATTGGAGTGGGCACCATCAGGGAGCGAGACGGCCCTGGGATGAAGAATAGATGGCAGTGCTGTCTGGAACGTACCTTGTTTTTCTGGGACCATCTTTACCAAAACCCCATCTTGTTATTAAGGACTTCTGTGACAACTAGAGCACCTGCACTTTACCGTATAAATGATTGTTTTATTCTGTTTTAGTTGTCTTCATCTTGGCATACGTGCCTCATTTGTCAGCCGCCCTAAGCCCGTTCTGGGGAGGGCAGGTTATAAATCCAATAATAAATAATAAATAAATAAATTAAAAAATATCCAAGCCTAGCACACAGTCTGCAATCTTAGAATTGTAAAAATCATCACAGAAGTACCAAGATCTGTCCATATGAAACCTATCAGCAGTCATTGATAATTTTCTACAGCTGCTCACTTTCCATATGTTTCAAAGGCTTGCAGAATAATCCCCCCCATACTCCGTAAAGACATGTCCAGCCTTCTTTACATGGTTTGCTCTGTGGTTGCAAGACGGAACTACCCACAGGCGCAAAGGAAGCTAGCTTTCTGCTTACCAATAACTGCGTATTTTGTTCCTCAGGAGCTGTGCCTCGGGGCGCACTATTCCCAAGGAAACCCAAACGTATTTTGTTCCTCAGGAGCTGTGCCTCAGGGCGCACTATTCCCAAGAAAACCCAAAAGCCTCCCCTTGGTAAGCCTCCCAAGACACTCTCCCCCTAAGGTTGCCAGCTCCAGGGTGGGAAATACCTGGAGATTCTGGGGGTGGAGCCTGGGGAGGGGAGGGGCCTCTGCCAAGGAACAAGGCCAGGGAGCCCGCCCTCCAAAGCATCCATTTTCTCCAGGGGAACTGATCAGTTGTAATAGCAGGAGATCACCAGGCCTCACCTGGAGGTTGGCAATAGGGTTGCCATCCCCCTGATGGGGATGGGGCTATCCTGATTTCGGGGGGGGGGGCGATCTGCTGCCAGCCAGCCAGTGGGGAGCCCCGCCTCCAAAGAGCTCCACCACGCCTGACATACTCAGCACCATGATGTCTCCCAGAGGTGCCAGCATCGCACTGGGCACATTGTGCGGGGGACACTCTATCATTCAGCTAAAAACTCTATGGTGACCATAGAGTTTTTTTGCAGAACACTAAAGCGTCCCCTACATGATGATGTCATTTCCAGAAGACCCTGGACAGCAGCCAGGAGCCCCCGACTGGCAGACAGTAGGCACCTGGGAACCCTAGTTGGTAACCCTAACTAACTTTGCAGCTGGTGATGCCAGGGGGAGGCGCCAAGTCTCAGCCTCAGGAACTTCATATGCACAAAAGAGCTCATTCATTTCCCTCTCCCTATACCCAACTCACATACTAGTACCCCTTAGGAAAGGGGAGCAGACCATTTCATACACACTTCCTCCTGCCTTTCTCCACCATTCTCAATTACTACACCCTTCTCCAGCAAAGTTGACGACATTGCCCACACCGGGCTGGACTGTCCACTGAATCTGAGAGAGGAAAGGCTGGAAATGCGGGTTGGAGGACTGAAGCACTTCCTCATTTGCTATTGTCCAAGCCGGCTCCTTCTGAGAGAGGCACGCAGGCTTGGGGAAAGGAGCGCCGTGCCCATGGCAACAGGTACTTCCAGCCTCCTCTTTTCAAAGGCGTTCAGATTAGGAAATGTCTTCTTTGTGTGCCCACTGTGCCCCATCTCATTACCAGTCACCTACGCCTGGGAGCAGACAAGGGAAGAAAAAGCCCGCTTGGTTTAATGGGAAATCTACTACGGGCAATGCTCAGCTGCATGTTGCCACAGTGGATTGCTGTCAGCATTTTAACAGACAATGTCCAAATATGGACCCCCCCACCCCCACTTCTATACTGCCCGTAGCTGAAGCTCTCTGGGCAGTTTACAACAAGTGTAAAAACAATAAAATACAACAGATAAAACATTAAGAATTAAAAGTTAATTTAAGATTACATTAAAAAAAATTAAAAGCAATAGACCGGATCCAGAAAGACCTAACCCAAAGTGAAAGAAAAGTACCTGGCTAATGGTATTGGGCCCCTGCCATGACCAGGGAGGTCTTTAAAGGCCTCCAAAAAGAGGACTGTCTTAACCTGGTGCTGAAAAGATGGCACATTTGGCGTCAGGTGGGCTGCAGCAGGACGGCCCACCACCGAGAAGGCCCTCCCCCTAGTTGCCCCCCTCCAAGCCTCTCGAGGGGTTGGCACCCGGAGGGAACGTGTCCTTGGGAGAGTGGCAATGCCTAGCTGCCTTCCCGTGGTGCTAACTGGGGAAGGGCGGAGTGGAAAGTGTTGGAGGGAAGAGTTCTTGTCCGCTGAGCCACAGTGTGGTGTCCATGGGTGCTGTAGCATCCACCAATAGGTTTCCTGGAGCTCATTTGCTCCTTTGACAAAAGCATTTCTTCACAAAAGCAATGAGCCAGTCCTCGCTTCCTTCCACTTCAATGGCGCAGGTGGTGCTTCAGGATAACCCAAGAGGCATTATCTTTGTGTCTGCAGAGGGGGCGCCTCTTCAGAAACAGATCCCTCCATTGTAAGAGGATGACTGGTTTGAAATGCCCAAGGACCTCACAGCAGCCATTTTGTGGTGGTGCCCGCTAGCCATCCTCACAATTCCAAACGTGCCCACAGGCTTAACCAGATTGGAGGCCTAGCCCACGTTTCAGGATAGGTTGAAGAACCCTTCCCAGTTGGGAGGAAAAGAGGTTTAGCACACTCTGGGAAAGGGATGCACAAGGCAAGAACTGGGAATAGAGAGTAATTGAGTGAAGTCTGCATCCAACCCAACCTCTGACAGGAATGCAAAAAAGAATGCCAAGGGTAGAACCAGTGATTTGGGGAACTCAGCTTGCCTCATGTTTTTTATTCTCTCCTTGGGTTCTGTAACACTTGCGCTATTGTTCTGAAACCATTTTCCTGTGCATCTGTGCTCCTCATTACTAGAGTCATATGTTAAATAAATATCCCCCCCCCCTTTTAAAGATAGGGAATTAAGATTCCTGCAATGAGTTTCCCAAATGTTAGGCAGCTGTATTGCTCCATAGCAAAACCCCAAACTAAAAGCTATGTAATACCTTCTGCTAAGACTGACCAAAATAGCATAACACACTGTGCAAGCTTTTAGGTTCTCCAGAACTCTGTACTGGGCTGGATGTTAAAAACGAGGAGAGAGGGGGAAAAACCCACATCTTGTGCAAGTGACTGCTATTCTGTACCACTGACTGGTCCTTAGGAGCACCACCATCTGTTGCTATTTCACCCACTGGCATGGTTTTTCATTAATCACACCAAACAAATATCTTTGGACGGAATTGGGTAAGTACTGATACAGTAATTCTGGATGCTGTAATGTTTTCTCAGCCAAGTGCTCTCCTTCAACTGTGGCATGTCCTCCCCAAGACCAGGTTAAGACTAGGACCCATCCTCACGGTGGGTCCTAGAGGTCTAGAATTACAACTGGTCTCCGTACTACGGATTTTGAGTCCAGTGGGGGCCCCTTTAAGACCAGCAAAGGTTTACTCAAGGCATGAGCTTTCGTCTGCAAGGCACGCTTCCTCAGATACCTGCACACGGAAGCTCACGCCTTGAGTAAACCTTTGTGGGTCTTAAAGGGCCCCCCCGCTGGACTCTGAATTGGCTCTACTGCAGCAGACCACCTCCCAGCCATGGCTGGCTCAGGGCAGCTTACATAAAATCAGCATATATTTGCAATAAAACAATTAAAACCATGTTAAGAGACTGGTGAACAATAACACAGTTGGTGCTGGTACTGTTGTTGCGGGGTCGGCGATCCTTCACCTCAGAGGGTGAGCTCTTTGGCATCACATCCGTGCTTCCTCCCCTCCCCAACCCCCCCCCCCGATCTCCAGGAATTCCCTAAACCCAGGCAACCCAGGGTGTATTTATTTTGTTGTTGTTGTTTTGTAGGTTTTCTGGAGAAGCTTTAAGACTAATTTACTCCAAAAGGCATTTCAAAATATTTCATTGGTGTTGCGTTTCTCTGGAGTTTTAAAGTTTGGAGGGACTTGTATTGCTGATTTTTACATTTCAGTTATTATTAGTATTGTTTTTAAGCTGTTGTTGCATTTGGAGCTTTTTCTTATAAGCTGCTCTAGTGATTCATCTTAATGGAAAAGTGATGTATACGTTTTCTAAACTATAACAAGAACTGAGATTTGCTAGCATAAAGGCAGTTCTCTCTGATGTAGGGCGTAAGCCTGTACTTCAGCATCTACCAAAATAATCTTTCCAGGTAAGAGTTTAAGACCCAACAGAGTGTTGGAATTATGTGTGTGTTGCAAGGTCTAATTCAGTCATTATAGGGTTATTCTGTTTACCTTGTGTGCTTTTGTTTAGACTGACCTGGAAGGGAAACCCAGCTCAAAGCCAATGGGAACAAAGCCCGGGAAATCTAAGTCTGTTTACTCACAATCATTGGTTAATATAATCAGGTGATGTCCTTCTAGGGGTCAAGAAGAAGAATCTCCGTTACAGTTGTTGTTGCAAGACACAGTCGGTTTGTTTTGCAGCTGTAGAGATGTAGTCTTAGGTCTTTTATTTTGTGGCTTTTCCTGTGTACCCTGCCCTTAGAAATAAAGACCTTTACACAAAAGGAAATGCCTCCTCTCCAGTGAAGCAAAGATCCATTGCAAACTCTGAATATCTAAGTATTTTTGCCAATTTTTCCAACACAGAGAACATGAGAAAATTCATCATGGAATTGCATGCGCTAGGAAGGCCAGGGAGTCCTATACATAGGGGTGCCAGCCTCCAGGTGGGGCCTGGGGATCCCCCAGAATTACAGCTCATCTCCAGACTACAGAAATCAGTTCCCCCTGGAGAAAACGGATGCTTTGGCGATGGACTCTATGGCCTTGTGTACCCCGCCGAGGTCCCCTGTCCTCCCCAGGCTGGTTCCATCCCCAAATCTCCAGGAGTTTCCCAGCCAGGATCTGGCCACCCCAACCCCCCCACTCCCCACCAGTGGCCAGGGGGTCCTGGCGTCCCTATGCCATGGCAGCTGAGGGACATGTCCGTCACACGAATTCTGCCGCAGGAGGATCAACATGGCCAGGAGACTGGAAACACTGCACTCCAAGTCAAGGGCCACAAAACTAAAATGAGAGCAATCTAGGGGAAGACGGGTCTGACCAAGGGTGGAGTAATCCACAAATTCCATGAGAGTCAGTTTGGTGTCGTGGTTAAGTGTGCGGACTCTAATCTGGGAGAACGGGGTTTGATTCCCCACACCTCCACTTGCATCTGGCTGGATGACCTTGGGCAAGCCATGGTTCTGATAAGAGCTGTCCTTGAAAAAACAGCAGAGTCTGTCAAGAGCTCTCTCAGCCCTACCTACCTCACAGGGGGTGTCTGTTGTGGGGAGGGGAAGGGAAAGGAGTTTGTAAGCCGCTCTGAGACTCCTTCGGGTAGTGAAGGGTGGGGTATGAATCCAATCTCTTCTTCTTCTTAATTTGGGAGAACCGGGTTTGATTCCCCACCCCTCCACTTGCACCTGCTGGATGACCAGTTTCTGTCAGAGCTCTCTCAGCCCCACCTACCTCCCAGGGTGTCTGTTGTGGGGAGGGGGAGGGAAAGGAGTTTGCCAGCCGCTCTGAGACTCCTTCGGGTAGTGAAGGGCCATGGGGTATAAATCCTGTCTCTTCTTCTTCAAGAAGGCTTTGTTGAGTGGCATCAGGCGTAGCTGCCTCCCTTCCAGTCCCACAGATGACTGGGCTGGTGGCTAAGAAACTGGACACTCTGGCAAACATCTTTGAGCAGATGGCAGAAACAGTGGCAAGAAGGGAATCAAATACAGAGCGTGGGGCAATGCTGGGAGCAGGTCAGAGCTGGGATAATTTACAGGGATTGTGCCCGCCTGTTTCAAAACTCCAACTCCAGTGCATTCTGGGACCTGCTCCACACCCACCCTCTCCTCAGCTGTGCCCCTCTGACGGAGGGGAGGCATTTCCCTTCCAGGCCAGGTTAGCAAGGTCTGGCACTGGCCAGGGTGACCAGCTGGGAGCAGAGGCCTCTTTCCCGGCAACAGCCTCAAACCGCTTTTGGACCAGTCCAGGGAGTCAGCCATGTTGGTCAGAAGCAGCAGAACACATTTAGAGTCCGGTGGCACCTTTAAGACCAACAAAGATTCACTGTATCTGAAAAAGTGTGCCTGCCCATGAAAGCCCGTACCTTGAATAAACCTTTGTTGGTCTTAACGGTACCACCTGACTCTAAATGTGTTCTGCTTTTGCACTGGGCACTAAAGAAAGCTGGATGCAAAAGGAGGGCGAATTCTCCGTTCGAATATCCTCTTTCAGAGTTCCACTGGTACACGTTGCCCAAAGGACCCTCTAAGCTGTGGAGTCTTGTGAGCAAAAATCCTACTTTGTGAGCTACTGGCATTATAGTTGTGAGCAAGTGATTTGGCTACTGAATAAATTAGTTAACTCTGGAGCCATCCTTCCTGAGCTAAGACAGAAATCTGTGAGCTGGAAGCTAAAAAACTGTGAGCTGGCTCACACTCACTCAGCTTAGAGGGAACACTGGACCCCACAATCCAACAGTTCCCCTTCCTTCTCCTTCCAACCCTTTATCCTCAGTTCTAACCAGTGGGAAACGTTCAGATTTGCATAGTACAACGAATAGACAAGTGCAAATGAGCAGGGTTGTTCCATCTCGTACCAGGACAGCCTCTTTCAAGATCTGTCAATAAACGCAAGCTTACCAAGACGTCTCAGAGAGACCGACAAGAGGGATCCCCTGCCTCTGTGGGGGGCAAGCAGAGACAGACATGAGCATCTCAGTCCAAAACTCACCATACTGGGATGCCCGGCTTCTCCACAGCACAGGGCGATGCCCGTCTCGTGGGACTCGCAGCCAAAGACACAGGCCGGGGCCTCCAGTCACCCCATCCCTCAGAGACCAGACCCTGAGTGGAGGAATTCAGTCTCATTCATTCCCGAGGACGTCCGTCCGTCTCCTTCTTTCCAGTTGTCTTTCGCCAAGGGCCTCCTTTTCGGGCCGGGGCTCTCAGCGCTCGAGAGACTCCCGCCGAGCAGGGGGAAAGTGTCCTCAGCCGCATCCGACGGCCCACGAGGCTCCTCTCCTGAAGTGGTACAATTTCTTTTTTTAAAAAAAAGGGAGCAAGGAACCCCCCCCAAAAAAAAGCAAACAGAAGCCAGGGGCTCCAAAGGGCACCGTCTTCGGGAGGGATGGGACAGGAGGCGCCCAGTGCAGAGGCCCAAGACCAGGCCCTTGGCCTGGATTTCGGGAAAGCAAAACGTCCAGCCCTGTGCAAGCGTCCCACGCCCCTTCCAAGAGAGCTGGATGCGAAGGAAGGAGGGGAAGGAGGAGGAGGGTGGTGGTGGGGGGGGAGGAAGAGGCCGGGCCGCAGTTTGGGGAAGGCTTCTCCTCAGCCGCAATGTGGCCTCTCCTCCCCTTCTTCAGCAGCAGCAGCAGCAGCAGCAGCACCCCCACCCCCTCCTCCAGCCAGCCAGCTGTGTGCGAGGCAAGGGCTGGAGCCGGCCTTGTGCTTGGCTGGGAGCTGCCGCTGCTGCTGCTGCATTCCAGGGGAGCCAACCCCAAATCCACCCCCCCCCCCAGTGCTACCCGC